TCATTGATTTACCTTCCAAGTTCTGCAGTATGGAGGACCAAAACTGACATAAATATAAATAAAAGCAGAAATATATAAATGAACCACTAAGTTAATAAATACACTTAAAATGCACCAGTTCAAGTAAAAAAGAACTTTACCTCATGTTTTGTAATTTAATTGTCATTTAATTGATATTTTTCCAGCTTAGTTCCAATAAAATTATATATTTTAACACAATTCAAATTTGACTGTTTTTTAAAATATATATTTTATACAGTTTTCCCTTTTATTTGTACATACATTTGTCTCTTAAATGTTTAAACTTAAATATTTTTATAGTTTTGTCCCACAAGTCTTTTTTTATTTCGATGTGTTGCAGGCATGTGCTGCCTCAGTTTAGCTTAAAGTTTAAAGTTTAGTTAAAAACAAAGGTCCGGATGAGTTTTTCTCCTTGCCTTTGTTTTAAACTAAACTTTAAGCTAAACTGAGGCAGCACACGCATGTAACACATCAAAAAAGATTTGTGGGAAAAAATATAAAAATAATTAAGTATAAACATTTAAGAGACACAAATGCATGTAGAAGTAAAATGAAAAACAAAAAACGTATTTTAAAAAACATTCAAATTTAAATTATGTGTTACAATATATAGACTAATTTATACTAATCTGGAAAAATAAATACTAAAGTCATTTCAAACAAAAAACATGAGAGAAAGTTCTCCTTTGTTATTTTAATTGGTGCATTTCAAATGTATTTATTTAGTGGTTCRTTTATGTATTTATGCTTTTATTTCTAATTATGTCAGTTTCGGTCCTCCATACTGCAGAAGCCTGATATTCATCCATTCATTCAAACCAGGAGTGTTGGAGCAGAGAAGCAAGTAAAACATGCAGGGCTGCGGCCCTCCAGGACCAGGATTGCCCACCCCTGGTATAAAATTTATTTGCCAACAACTTTTATTTTTTATTTTGACAAAATAATCCTTTYCCAATAATTCCATGCATTTGTTTTTTTGTTTTTAAATCCTAACTTTTCTGATTTAATCATGACAACAGATGAATGAATGCTGAATCAGCCATTTATTCTTTGTAWTCTTTGCTCTGAGAACAGAAGTGCAGCACATCCCACATCAAAGACCCTGATGACTTACAAACTCTAAAACCTGTTTTTTTGCACAAACTCAGGTAACGAGGTGGATGAATGTGAATGGGGATCAGATGTAAATASGTGCTGTTACTAAAAATGAAAGGTGGGTGATTTTATTGTGAAGGTGGAGAATAAATGAAGCGTTAAGTGCTGGAATGTGACAAGATAAGACTCTGGTCATCCAGGTGTGTTCTCCTCAGATCAGCCTTTAGAAAAATATGTTCTTCCTAAAACAAGACAAAGATTAAATATAAGATGAATATTAGGAGTAAAATGAGTTCAACAAAACTTTTAATTTGACAGAATCACGAGACTGTATCGACTGTTTTTATATCAAACAGGCAACAGTAACAAACCTAAAGTTGATATTAGAATCTTTGTCTTTCAGGTAAGTTTATACCTGTTTACAGCTCTTCATACACAGATGTATCCTGAATATATATATACATATATTTGTTTAGTTTTGGCCACCAAACTGAACCTCAAAACAAAATTTTTACTAATAGTTCACTCTTTTGAGCATAAATAAGTTAAACTTCCAGTCTATCCATTATATTTTAAGAAATGTTTGGAGCAGAAGTTACATGTTAATAATAAAATAAGTTGATGGCAGCAATTTCCTTTAGTCTTGGCTCAACTGGGACATAATACGTCAAAAATTCACACAAACCAAGTAATATGAAAATTCTATACACAAAATTAGTTTTTTTCTTAATTTTAATTAAAAAACATTTTATAAAATCTTATAAGTAATAAAGTTAGGACAA